TTGTGCAAGCTATTTCATCTCATTCGAGCCACCGGCATGGAAAGCTTTGGGCGTGAGCCAAATTATTTATAGAGCTGATGACTCGGTTATTTTAATTATACACTTGTGCGTCTAGAAATAGGAAACCTAAGCCCCTGGAATGGAGTAGCAAACTACACAAGACTCCGCTAGGTTGGGTGTGACAATGAACCGAACGATAGTAAAACTGTCTACCACTTTCACTTTTTGAACCCATGAATCTGCATTTGGTTGCTGTTCTTTTTGATCGCCCATTTGGATAAAAGAGCAGAATGAAGATTGGGTTATTGAGAGTAAACTCAAGAGGAAGATCGAGAATAAATATGGACTAGAATTGCAAGAATACTGAGCAGGTGCACGAGCACCATCAAAACGAGGCTGCACCTTGTTTTGGTGTGTCTTGTGCACCTCTCTGACCTAACGAGCTACACAGGATGTCATTTGTCACGCCGAAGATCTAATCATGCCTGGAAGGTCGGACGAAGTCGTCTCCTGGTTAGGTGTCTGACTGAAATTTGCGTTTCAGTCGGTAGAAAAATGGTGCGGGAGTAATTGATTCGAGTAAATGCGACTCCACTTCGCACCACCCGCTGCCTTGCGGCTAAGTTCTTGTCAGAACTAAAGGCTTTGGTTGAGAACCCTGAGTGTTCTCCTGCTTAGTGGCTGGACACCCTAGCAGTCTCCGTCCACCAAACCTGGGAGTTTGGCAGCGACCTATGAAGTTTGCTTCCCTGTATTTCGCCGTACGATGATGATGAGATCTCCTCAATACCAAATAATTCCAGGTGCCTCCTGTTTACGAGACCCATCGGATATCACTCAGCGTTCAACTGATAAGGTCAACCACTCAGAGGCTACCAGAATTTTGAAACCAAAATCCCCTTTTCGATTTACCGCATTTAATGTCCGCACGCTCTACCAGATCGGTCAACAAGCTGCCTTAGCTAGAACCCTTTAAATCTTCAATTCAGAAGTACGCTGTCTCCGAAACACGCATACAAGACCGTACTTCAATCATCTTGCATCCTCACGATCCAACCTCATCCTCACACTTTACTCCCCGTCGGTCAGGTGATTTGGCATCCGGAACTCGCGGTGTTGGGATTGCGCTGAGTGTCAAGGCCGAGCGTTCACTTCCCGTCTGGATCCCAGTTAACAGCCGACTTTGTGCCGTACGTCTGGATGGTTCAGTGCGCGTCAACAGCTACAGAACGAAACGTCGACGCTTATACGTCGTATCCGCGTGTACACTGACCGACTGCGGTTCGCAAGAAATGAAGGATGATTTCTAAAAGGACCTCTCTCAACTGCTCCAAAGCGCTCGGTCAACGGACATAGTAGTGGTCGTCGGGGACTTTAATCTTCAAGTGGAATTCCCGGACGAATCAGAAACGCTACTTGTTGGTTCAAATACAATTCCAGCTAACCGGACTGACAACGGTTAACGCCTACTTCAACTTTGCGCTGATCACGGACTGTTTCTATCAAGCACGATCTTCTCGCACAAGAAACGACACCGCCTTACATGGAGACCACCAACCGCTTCACAGCGCTGGATTCAAATCGACCACATCACCATCAGCCACCGCTGGCGAGGATCCATTGAAGACTGTCGCTTCTACTGGTCAACACCCGTGGACACGTACCATGTTCCCCTACGTGCGAGATTATCCCTACGTCTGATAAACAACCGCAGAAAAACACCGAAAACGGATACCCACAATACAGTATCAGCGACGGTTGCAACTCGGCCTTCGAAGCGGAACTATCGGATCACCTCTTAACTCAACCATCAGCCATAAGACACTGGACGACAATCAAACGTCCATCGAAACAACAGCAACTTCTGGCGCACGACCAAATAAAGAACGGCGGATCTCCCAGACCTCGGTTGCCTTGATGGACGCTCACAAAGCCATTCCTTCGGGTTCAAAATACGACACCTCATGCAAATCTCTTAAACACCAGCTCATCAAGAGTCTGAGGAATGACCGCGAGAAGTGGTGGGTAGGGAAGTGTAGAGAGATGGGAAAGGCTGTGGTTATCGGTAATAGTCACGATCGTTTTCGTTTAATTGGGAGTACAGGACCAAGAAAAGTAGGCTTAGGTGAGGTGCTTAAGGAGTCCGACGGCACACTGATTCAAATTGAGGAACGCTATCTTGAATGTTGGGCTGAACATTTCAAGGCTCAGTTCAGCTGACCCCCGTCGACACAATACCTTTCCCTACCCGCTTCAGCCGCACAAATACGTCAATAGACATCAGTCCTCCATCTGAAATGGAGATTACCCGAGAAATAAGCTTTATCAAAAGATATAAAGCTTCCGTCCCCGAAGGCCTGTCCAAATCGGTTTATGGATGGAGGTTCAGCTTTGATTGTGGAGCCAACAAAACTCCTGGGCTCCGTGTGGGAGAGGGATAAGGTTCATCATCATCATTGTACAGCGTAATATAGTGAAGCGAAATTCACTGATCGCTGCCAAACTTATGATGCTTACAAGATAAGTGAGAATGTGTAAGGAGGACAGGGATTGGGCCTAGTTTTAGGGACGGGAAACGAAAGCGAACCTCTATGGTCAACACACAGAGTACACAGCCCAACTGTGCATACATAGTTTCAAGCATTCTGGTCTGATAAGAAGTGACAGCATTGCTATCGGTTCGCAGTTATGACCTTCAGTGTCTCCAACCATGCGGTTTCAGAGTCTTTTGGACCCCAACCCGGAAACCGAGAGACACCTACTCTACCTAATCGCTCTATGCATTTCTTTATGCCTTGTCTCAACGTCATCTGCTGGCCTCCACGTGGCTTTCTCTAGCCTGTAACAGCCACTGCAAACAAGGCGCGCTGTGGTAGACGACCGTCTTGCGTAAGCTGCTCGAGCCTTGGAAATGCGGGCGGTTATCTCCTTCGATGCGCTACGGTCATTGGTCATGCAGTTTGACATAATACCTTGTATATCGCTTTTCTGACTCGTATCTCCTCTTTTCTTTTTCAGCTTTCATACGTACGCTGTATGTCGAATAAAGCCCAACGTTTGGGCGTTTCTCGTGCACGCTGCTATAACACTACAATTTATTCGACATACAGCAATGGATCGAACATTACGCCTCAAACGGTTCGATTTTGAACCTAGCTCACTAGATGCTACTAGGAAGTGGAACCATTGGTACAGCACTTTTCTCAGCCTCCTCAAGTCAATGGATAATCTAAAACCTGACAAACTGGATAAGCTGCCGCACGTGAACGGTGTACGCGTGAGAACCAGGCCAGTTTCAGACCTGGTCGATGTTGTACTGACCACATCTTCACACTCCGTCAAATTCTAGAACAC